ACCTCTGCTAATATTTCTGTCATTTCTGGGTCAGACATTCTACTGGTGTGTGGCCCCAAAATTACCAGTTCACTTAAAACCACAAAAGTGGGAGGTAAATTTGGTTGTTTATCTCTGACAATGGTGTTTCCAGAGCTGAAGCCTTGTGGACACTGATCCCAAAGCACCATGGGCCAAGGCCTTCAACAGAAGTTTTCTCCTGTTGATGTACAACCAACATACATCACAAGCACATTCCAATGTTTTCCTTCACAGAAACTCTTTGGGATATTGATCAGAACTATTTAGAATAAGTACCAGCATGATTTCTGAAGCAGTTTTCTGGGGTTTACAAATACCATGGTGTTGACTGTTTGCACATTCTGTCTTCTGCTGTAGCTGTAAGCCATGAATGCAAAAGGCCTGGTCACCCAGCAAACAAAGGATACAGACTGGAGAAGTGCCAGGGAAATGAAAAGGTTTTATATTCTTTGCAAGAACATTTGAGTCATTTGGCCTACTAAAGTGTTTGAGGTGCATTCACTGTTGATTGCATTTGTTTTCCAGGCTCACTGCCACTACATTGCAGTGAAAAACTTTGTAGAAACTGTGGAAAAACTCGAGACCAAGGCTGGCATCCAGAAGATTATGAAACAGCTCTGTGACCTCTTTGCACTACACGGGATCTTCTCCAATACAGGAGCCTTCCTGCATGATGGCTACACATCTGCAGCTCAGATGGACATGGTCACAGCATCCTACCTGGACCTCCTGGCTGTCATTCGGTGAGCTGCTTTGGCAGGACACACACAGCTATCCAGTTTATCCCTGTGCTAGATAGAAAAGGGTGCTGCTGTACCTATGGCAACATCTCCACAGTCAATTCACCTCATTCAGTTTTTATTTCCAGTGCCTGGCAGTACTAGAAATTGATTGAAATGTCTACTCATAGCTTGTTTTCATGGCAAAACAAACTCAAGTGTCCAGCTCCTCTGCAATCTCTTAAAGTTTTGTAACATGAAGTCTTAAATTATAAATGAAGAAGTCATGAACACTTTCTACCATCTGCAGTAGAGTGAAAGCAGGGAAATATGTAGTCAGAGCACACTGGCAGGAGGCAGCCACAGCAACCCATCACACATTGCAAAGTCTGCTTAAGCCACAGCTAATACAGCCTACTCTGTTGCCATGGCTGAGCTGCAACTGGTACCCAAACAATCCTGCCTACAGCTACTTCAGATGCATCTGCTCTACACCATTTATTACCAGCTCTGAGTTCTGAGTTAAGGTTTTCACTTACCACAACACTCACTGAGGCTTTTTGACAAAGGGTTCAGCTTTCACTACTCTGTGCTGTTTGTTTAGAACATAGTAACTTATGGTGCAGAGGAGTTGCTACTGTAGCTAAAATTCCACCTAAGCCACCTGGAGAGAAACAAGAACACACTATAAGCAAGGGCTGAACAGGGCTGAGCCAAACAGCATGGGTTTTCAGAACTGATAACAGAATCTGAATTAAGTGATAAGCCTAACATAACATTTTCAAAAGCCTAGCATGTTGTCTTTGGAATTCATTGCAGTTTCTGTGTTAGTCCATGCCTTGTTAACAGGATTCAAGAATGCAGTATTTACATATTTACAGTTAGTAGAAAGGATATAACCACTTCCTGGTCTGTAGCAAAAACACAGCCTCTCCCAAACCCTCAGACAGCTCTTCTCCAAAAGGAACTGGAAGATAGAAATGCCCACATTTGAGCAAACCACTTTTCATCCTGGTACCTCAGGTGTGAGGTACAGCCAGCACAACTTCCTACCCCCAACATGATGGAAGGATGAGGAAAAAGAAACCACCTCCTGCTTAGGAGATGCTGCCTGTGCTGTGGCTCTCCATGCTGTCACATTGGCCCCTGGGCTAGATGGGCCCTTGGATGGGTCAGGATTGTTTTGCTCCTACAGATATGAACAGAATAGAAGAGCTCAACACCTCATGATGAGATAATGGAAGTACTGAAAGGCAGATGAAGGTTGAAGATCAGCAAAGCAACTTCACATCAATCTAGTAGGAACCTTATTCCATTTTAGAAAAATAAAAGAAAGACAAAAATCAAAAGAACAAACTTGGCAGACACTACTGAGAAAAAATCTGACATGAATCCTGAATTTGGGATGGAGCCAGGGTGAAGACCCTGCAAACACCCCCTCAGCAGCACAGACAACTCAGGGCATTAGTAGAACATCACAGAATCACAAAATTATCAGGGTTGAAAGGGACCTCTGGAGATCATCTAGTCCAATCTCCCTGCCAAGGCAGGGTCACCTAGACATGTCTCTGAGGAATCAGAACAAGCAGGATTTCCTGCCCCCAGTAAAGATAAGGAAGAAAACTGGCATGAGTTTTCCAGGAGAAACCTGGAAACTGCCATGTTTATTTTCCCATCTTGCAAAGCAGTACCCTCTCAGTAACAGGAATGTCACTGCTGTGCTCTGTAGGAAGGATGCTGTGCCACTGGTGGATGCTTTTGACTTCACAGACCAGAGCCTGAACTCTGCTCTGGGCAGCTACGACGGGCAGGTTTACCAGCGGCTCTACGAGTGGGCTCAGAAGTCACCCACCAACCAGGTAGGGATGAACTACAGCTGGGCAGCCTCCAAGCAGCCAGGGCAGAAACTGCTTCTCTTCTAACAAAAGCAATACAAACAAGAGACAAGAGCTTTTAATTCCTCTTTGTATCACATTGTACAGAATAAGTTAAATAAAAGGCTGTTTACATATTATGGAACAGCACTAAATGCAGGGTATTTTCTATACACTAATGCTTCTACTAGTGCAAAACTTGGACTTTTAAATATGTTTAACCAGAAAGAGTGTAAGTGTTAAACAAGGCAATTTGATCCTTCACGATCTTTAGAGCTTTGCTTTCTCAATTCATCCATACTGTGGAGCAATGTAAAAATTTTTTGTGATGTAAATATGTATTGCTGTGTTTGAAAACTCATGTGGCCTTGAGTGAGATTTTTACTGTGGTAATCGGTATCCCTTTGAAATTCCACAGTTGAACACAAAATTTGCCTTCAGCAAACATTCAATTCCAAGCATATTTTCTGAGGTTAAATAGTATGCTGTCCCCTTTGGGATGAGTGTGGTGTGCTGGTTATGAAGGACAGCACATATGATAGGGAAAAAAAGTTCTTGCACATAGTTGAGATAGCTGCTGGTTTGTTGGTTGCTTTTTTTTTATTTTTAAGTAGTGCAGCTTTATGTATTTCAGAGATTGTTCTTAAGGAAAAAAAATAGCCTTTCCCTTCTTAATTGCCATTAATTCCCTTCCACATTCTCTTTCTGAACAGATGAGCCCAGCCTACGAGAGGTATTTGAAGCCACTTCTGCACAACACACTATCAAAATTATGAAGAACATGTTCAAACTGAAGGGCACACATTTCCTCCTGTTCTTTGTGCACAGTACATTTATGAAGCATCAGTAATGACTAATCAGAATTAATAATCAGTTGCTTACTTGCAGTTACAACAAGTATGAAAGATTCTCAGCCAGCCATCTGCAATTAGACAGATGCCAACAGCGCTGAGTGGTACCTGCTGCTGTGAGACAATCTAGTCAGGAATGGTCCAGGGTTCACTGTCTTCTATCCTGAAGCGTCTTGACAGCATCAAAACTCTCTCATTTTACCTTCTTATTCTCTTTCTAAATCCGCTATATGATGATTGAGGAAAAAAACAAACACCACCACACTGTGAACCCTCTCTCAGTATGTTGTAACTATATAGTGCCTTCAAAAAACCCAAACCAACCAACTTTCCTGAAAAATCCATGGTGAAATCATGATCCTTTGTTTTTAGGAACAAGTTGTTCTCTTCAATCAGAAACTATATTAGAATGTGCATCTGTTTTGACAATTAAAATAGCTCTTGATTTGCTCAGTACTGGAATATTCCTGCCTAATGAAGATGCAGACAAAGCTGATGCCAACTCCAGTCTGCAGAATTTACCTTCCCATTAATAGAGCTGCTCATTTCTATAAATCTTGAGCTCCAATAAAATGCATTATTTGGAATACTGCTTCTCTAATTATTATACTTCATAATTATGGAAAGGGCAAGCTGATCCAGGCCAGTCATTAATTTGCTCATAAATTAAGTGTTGCAAAGAACATCTTGTGATTATAATTCAATGCCAGTTAACACAAATATTTCTTACCACGTGTTGCAAGAAAGAAACAACTTTTCCTGAGCTTCTTCAGTTCTGCTTCTCTTCCCTCCTTGATAGCAAGACTAAAGCTCTCATTGCTGCCTCTTATTACATAAGTCAAAAACCTGCAATGTATGAACAGGAAGAGACAAAATATGACAGAGAAATACCCCCAAGGCAGCGTTTAGAGCCAGATATGGGATGGAAAGCTCCCACCTGCTTGGGACGAGAACTTCATGGGAGAACAGGATCCACTCCATGAAACAGATGCCAACTCCCTTACTCCTGCTGCAACCAAGTTAGATCATAACCACCAATTCTGTTAATAACTATGACAAAAAAACCAGGACAAGTAGAAATGTCTGTATGAAATTGAGTAAAGCCACAGAATTTGACTCGAAAATTGAACTCGAACATAGAAAAAGCATTCTGCAGTTAGAATTATATATATAAAGTCACTACATAAAGTGCTGACAAACCAGGCAACTCTATTAGCAGCTACAAGTATTTAGGCTCTGTGTTCCCTCCATCCCTACCCCTTTAGCTAGTACAAATATTTGCCATCTTTCTATCAATCTAAAGCAGTTTCCAGAACACAAGCTTTGTCTGTAATGAAGACATTTTAATCAACTGATTAACATAAAAAGGAACAACTTACATCATTAACGGAAGAAACCAGGGCCCTACCAGAACACCCAAACTACTCAGCAGCACAAAAAAAACCAGGATTTGAGTGGGAGGTTTTTTGTTTGGTTGGGTTTGGTTTTTTGAAGTATAAGAATTCTAAAAGACAAAAAGAAAATACAAAACCGTATTCTGTATTTCACATTTTTATTAGCTTCTTCTGGCAGGCATTACACTTGGGAATAATATTGCACCAGGCATTAAAAATATGAATTCTACCACAGGGACATTTTGCATTTAGAATCCAATATAAATATTTGTAATCATATTTCCATGGCTACAGATAATATTTGGTTGCTTGATTTATATGCATAGAAAGAAACAGTTGTCATAACTGTAAGAAACTGTACTTATCAAGTACTTTTAAAGGGTGGGATCTGTTTTCCTAGAATATTACAATACTGTTTATTGATTTAGAAACTATATTAGTCTACACAATAGCAGCTTCTCCCCAACTGCATTTTAAAATCTTTTTTTTGTTTCTTGCTCCCAGTGTCATAGCATTAAACGGATTAGAAACCATTTAAACAAGAGGTAATTTTAGCACTTTGAGTCAAGTCAGAGGATTGTGTTAATGACACAAAATACCCTATTGTACTGATTCTTCGGACTCCCTCTTTCAAACAAAAAGGTGTCTTGACTGAACAGGCACATGCACGGTTTTTTTTCTGAACTGGACAAAAGAACAGAGCTGCTAGAGAATGAAACTCCTCCAGTCCTCACTGATAAACAATAAATAGTCGTATAAAAAAAGCCCATATTGTTGCTTTAGTCAAAATCCAGACTCTCTTGGGTTCACTGTCCAATTAAGTTGCTAATCACTGAAGTGGCTCCTGTGGAGTCAGAATCAGTCATCTGTTTTCCGTGCCAGTCTGCAGAAAGTCCAGTTGTGTTCCACTGTGTTTTCGTTGGCACGCTCGCTCATGTGATGCACTCTGGTGTTGCGGATCGTGAAGCCCTGCTTTGTGATGTACTCCATGAGATGCACTCGCAGCGACACTTCCTGGTGGTAATCACATGGCCCGAAGGTGAAGGACACCTGGCAGTCCCTGGTGTCCATCATGTGCTTATTCCACTTGGTGAAGTGGTTTGAAATGCCTTCCAGCAGCGCGTGGACTTTCGTCGTGATGGTGAGCTGCGTGATGATCACAGCCACCGGGTTGGAGTACTTGGAAAGCTTCCGGGTGCTGGACAGCTCCACCACCTCCTCAAAGGTATCCACAGGATACAGCGGCTTGGGGTCATTAAGACACTGAATTAAGGGTTCAATCTGATAGAAGTCTGCTTCCTTCCGGAGCAGGTCAAACTCCTTGAAGTCCAGTGGCAAAGTGAGCTCTGAGGTCCTTAAAAAGTTAAGAACATAACGGAAAAGTGGTCCATCTCTGTCAATAAAGTAATTGCCCTGAGAGTCCCTGGCAGTGGGGAAGTCTCCCCTGAACATGGCCCCGAGCATTGAGTCAGGATATCTCGTTAGAGTTGTGAGGGAGGTCGTATACATGTGTCCACCCACATTTAGCGTGACTGGATCAGTCATCTAGAAAGAGAGAAATTGCAGAGTTTATCAAGCCCCAACAAGAAGATTCGATCACCTTGCTGACACACACGGCAAATACTGCTGGAACACTGGGGGAATCACACTTCTCCTGTTTAATGCCTCTAAAGGCTCTTCAAACCCGAACAAATCCAAGCCACCTAGCAACAAGGCACAACTGGCAACTAGACAGGATGATACTTAGCATGCAGAATGCACATTTCCAGAATGCTTTAGAAATCTTAACAACTGAGCTACTGTCGCAGGATCGAGTTTAGCATTCGGGCAGCAAGTTTTTTCCTATTCTACAGATGGGGAAATGAGAACAGAGAAATTTCCTGAAGAACAAGTTAGTCAGAATGAGGCCCAGTAATGTTCCTTACTTTCACAATCTGTCTCTCATTCTAGAACAAAACCAAAACCAAAAAAAAAAAAAAAGGAAAGGAAAAAAACCAGCCAAACAAACGTTAAGCCTCTTTTTATCCCTCAAAAGAGGAAGACAATGCAGGTTTAAACACAGGACCAAGAGCTCACAATCAAAATAATCCACACTTTGGCTCAGAGGCTTCATTAAAACAGGCAAGGGAGAAAAAGAACTTTCAGCTTTTAACTCTAAAAAGAAATATTTATTAACAAATTAGCGTGTTGCATAGAAGTGGGGAGCAGAGCACAAACCAGTCTGCAGCAGATTCCAGATAGCACATGAGGAAGCAAAAGAGAAAGGAACATAAATCCCATCTGGCCACCAACTCTAAAAACCAGGACTGCAGCCAGCCAGAGAAAAGAGACATATGCATGGCAGCAGAATGAGAAGGGGAGGAAAATAAGATGTGCTTGTCTAGCTTGAGACAAGGTTTACAAGGAAAAATACTTCTCTCGATAAATAAAGTGACAGAAGTCCTTAACATAATAAGGAAAAGCATGAACTATTTTTGGCTTTTGCGTTAGGAAAATGGTAACTGAGCTCAAGGCATCAGCTCAGTCCTGGCTGACTGTCCCTAGCAATGTAAACCTGGGCACTCCCCACAAACTGCACAGGAGGTGCAGCACTCCAGGGAAGGTGTGTAAGCTGTTGTAAAGCTGTTTTAACAGGCACAGTTTCCCTTCTCTCACGACTGAAGCTCTGGATCTACAGAGGGCAGATCTGGAAGGATTCTTGCTGCAAGACCTCAGAAGCCCAGTTGTGTCCAGTGCACACTTGCACTCACCATATATCCCCAGTCTCCATTATCCATCTGTTCACGTGCTTGAGCTGTGGTATTCCAAGTTTAACAGAAGGCTGCTGAAAGGATACACAATTCCTCTCCTCTTATCTCCCTGCAGGAAAAAGCACACACAAACACAGAACAAAACATGGCAGACCATCAGTACCTACAAGAACACCAAGGGGAATGCTTTCCAATCAAAGGCAGGCTCTCTGCCAGGAAAGCATTCAGCTACAAAGTCACATTAGCAGGAGAATCTGCAAACCCTCTTCTCCCTCCTTCTCCCATCACATTACCCACAGGACTGTCTCTGGAGCACACCTAACCACTCCACCAGTTGCCTGAACATCTCAGTTTTCTGGAATAACAAGCAATGTGCCTCTGAGGGCAATACATGTTCACAAGCAACCTTTCACCTGGGAAACTGTGACTACTTTGAAACACAGATGTCATTTTCCCAATTAAAAAAGTTTATTTAGCCACCTCTGAGGTCACACACGTGATCTGTTAATATTAGTCAACATTCCCATGCTCCAGTTTCAAACTGCTCAGAAAAATAAATCAAGCATGAAAGTCAATGAACACTAAGAAGAAAAAAACTCTCATTGCAGAATAAATAATTCAGTAGTAGAGAACTGCAACTGATAGTAAGAACATTAATCTACAGACAAAGAGTAGGAAAGGACTTCCCAGACACCTACTCTCAAAAGCCATCTCTGTAGGGACAAGCCAGAGGACATCTAACATGCTGTCAACACACTCCAACAAAAGCAATTTGAGAAGAGATTCCTGCTGTGACTTCCCAGGAGATGCTGAACTGTTGACTTGCATAACAAGGGGACTGTCCACACAAGCACAAGGCAAATCCACAGCCAGGCTGTGCAGCTCAAGAAGGGGGAAGTGAATGACCTCAGAGCCCAGTGCTGATGTGCCAAAGGTGGCCTGTCAACCTTGTCAAGCAATGGAAGGACAGGGAAGCCATTTGTCAGTAAGCCTTTATCCCTACCCAGAGCCTGCCTCTCTGCTAGAATTGCTGAAAATTTAGGTCAGCCTGTTTTAAGTAGGGTAGAGCTTCTCAGCTTTGTTTATTTTTACATCTTAAAAGACCACACAGTTCCCAAGACTTCTGGTCCCATCCTCTTTACTAACAAACTTCAACATACAGACACCCAGCTAAAGGCAGCACAAAGATTTAGCCAAGCCAGAGCCCCACACTGCAAAATGACTGAATATTCACAGTTAATTCCCAACCAAAAAAGATAACTTGCCCTTCTCATTCCTAAGGAATGTGGTTGGTTTCATTCACCACGGAACAAGGCAGCACATCCCACCTCCCTGTGCCCTGCCCAAATCCACAGCCTGGGCAAAACAGCATCCAGCAGGTCAGGTCTGTGGGACCCAGCAGCACAAGCACTGCCCCAGCTGCATCTCAGGTGGATTAAAGAGTAAAAAAAAAACAAAATATGAAAATAGTGAGGTCAGACAACAGAAGACTAAGGAATACCAAGATACAGAACAAGTCATACCAGGATCCTATTTTTACAAATTAGAGACAGAGCATGCCTCAAGAGAGTACATTAAAGCACATCCCCCAACAGCAGATAAACCTGGAATGCCAGCTCTTCTGCCAGCCTCTGTCATTATTTTTTTAACTGCTCACAAATCAAGAAGTCAATTCTTTCAGGGTTTTGCTGTTTCATTTTGTTTTGGTTTTTAGGGATTTTTTGGGTTTGGGTTTTTTGTGGGTTTGTTTGTTTGGGGTTTTTTTTGAGTTTTTTTGTTTGGGTATGGTTTTTGTGGGTTTTTTGGAATTGTCACTCAAGTACAGTTTGGGTTATGGTTTTTGTGGGTTTTTTGGAATTGTCACTCAAGTACAGTTTGTAAACTTTTAGCAATAGACCAGACCTTTTAAATTCCAGCACTTGAAGGTGTTACTCTGGTCAAGTACAAGACGAGGATAACATGAAGATGCATTAAAACCATATGAGACTGGTACAGGTTTCTGATACTCACTTGAGAGTGAAATGATGCAGCCAGCCAGAAACCTCACCAGTAATCATGACAGAAGAGATCTGCAGTCTTAATAAAATTAACTCAAATTACACATCCAGAATATTTCAAAGGCAGAGATGTCCATCAGTGTTAATTTAACTAGTGAATATGAGGTTATTTTGGTCAGCATGTAAGTCCAGTGCAGATGAATCAAGACTTCATCAGGGAAAGAAAGAGATGACACTGCAAGCCGGTGCAAAGGCATGATTTCATCTTTGATCACAGCACTGCTGTGTAACACCGGAGTGAAAAATTTACAAGAGCAATCATCTGGAACAAACCTAGCCCTCAACACAGAAGGGGCATGGAGAAATCTCTGTGACCTCTGTGTAAGGACCCAGAACCACAAGGCACACACAGACCTCCCTGGCAGACCAGTGCTGGAGCGAGATGTGCCACACAAAAGCACCCTCTTCTCCCTCCTTCTCCCACCACATCACCCACAGGACTGTCTCTGGAGCACACCTGACCACTCCACCACTTGCCTGAACATCCCAGTTTTCTTGAATAACGAGCAATGTGCCAGGAGCCCATCCCAAAATGCCCGAGTGTGATCCTAACTCTTCACTACTTCCCTCGTCAGCCTGGGAGCTCTGAATTTCTAGACAACTTCACAGGTGAAAGTAGCTTAGTTTGGGTACAACCTGAGCTAAGGACTCACCACCCACCTCACAGCAAGGCTGAGGATGGACACCCTTCATGGCATGTGCCCTTCCACTGATGCTTTAATCCTCCTGGATGGGATACAGTGATCAGCAGGGGGGTGGGCACACACTCCATACATCCCCCAGCACAGGCAGCCTCCAGCCAGCTCTGTCCTTGTGTCACACACCAATGGACTGCACGCAGGGACAAGCCTGCCAACACAGCTACTCCTGTCCAGACAGCAAATTACAGATGACACACAGCCATATCCCAAGGCAGCCTACATTTGATAACCACAAAAAATATTTGAAGTGAAATTCAGTCAGACAAATTGCTGACACAGCTCAGCCAAACAGGATGGCCCTCTGTGGTGGGAGCAGAGGGTGTCAAAGCACAGTCCTGCTGAGGTGACACTGCTCTGCATGCAGGGACAGGACACACAGCAGTGACACGGCCACTGGGGCTCCTGCCACAGCCCAGCTAGAACTGGAATGGCACAGTGAGAAGCAAGAAAAGCACTCAGGTCATCACTTTACACTCGACACACCAAACTGGATACCTGCATTTATAAACGCTCACTCTCATTTCATATGTTATGACTCAGAGGATTACAAGGCTGTTTATCAGCAACACTGCTGCAACAGGTACTGCCACTAACTCCAGCAGGGCTTCTCCCAGAGCAGAGCTGCAAACCAGTTTGCAAGCTGAAATTCAAAGAAAGCATTTAAGAGTCAGATGAACGTCTGCACCTGTGAAAACACACACACACACTCAGCAGGGATGCCAGCAGCCCTGCCAGGCATTCCCACTGCTGGCACTACAGGCTACCACCACTCCTGGAGAGATGGGGCAACGTGCAGTTACCCAAAGGAGGAGCAGAAGTGCATTGTAAGTTAAGAGGCACAGACCACCTGATTGGCTCTGAATGTTCTTCACCTAGTTTTTCAAAGAAAAGAATTAAGGGATTTACTCGTGGCAATAGTCTTTCATGGGCAGTTTGGTATCCACAGGCTGTTTAACCTCAAGAGTGTCCTTTGATTCCTACATCAATAGAGATGGAAGGATCTCTAGCAGCAGCAACTTAAAAATGAAAAAGAGCAAGGTAGGACTCTGAAATACACTTGGCATTTCAGCTACTCACCCCCTTTGTGAGCTCCCTGCCTCTCCCACTTAGATCTCACAAGATGAGAAGAAACTCCATCCAGCAGCACAGTTATGCTGTACAGGGACAACCTCTCTTTCCCAGCCAGCCAGAATATTTGAAAGGCAAGTTCTCACTGTAAATTATTGGTGACTCACCTGAACTGACAAACACTGAGCAGCACCAGTGCTGACTGTTCTCCACCAAACTCCAGTGAGCTGATGGTCTGCAGAGCAAGCCCTGAGCTCCAGCTCTGTGCCACCCTAACCAGGGGAGTGAGGAGGAGGAGGAGCGTTCTCAGAACAACCAGTTACCAGATCTTCGGGCAATTCAGCAGATCAGCTTCACTAAGGAGAGCACCTACCACCTTCTACACATGTCAAGTTTGTCATGACTAATGCAGCTTATTAGAAGTTAACTCAGCCCTTGATTTTCTTGAGCTGGTTTTTACAAATACTCAGTCTTTACCTCAGGCAGGACGGAAAAACACTCACGCTAGCCACTCAACATTTTCACTCTTTTATGTTTAATTGCTTCACTACAAATTCCAAGCTCCTGAAGTTTCCATCCCTTCCCCAAGGAGCTCTATGGCATCCTGTTTTAAGTCCTGATTCCAGACCTTTATTCCAATTTCTTCTTGTGGGAAGAGCCCACATCCCAGTACGACTTTGGCCCTTCTATAAGAGACCCAAAGGAGGACTCCAATATCCAGCCTGGTCCTGCTGAAGCCAGGGCACTCAGGCTTCCAGGACCTGTGATAATAGTTGGGGTTTATCCATGTACTGTGCTTCTGTGATATTAACCAGTGTTTTTCCATTGAGGAAACGTCTCTGAGCAGTTTTGGCGGCAGGCAGGTGTCAGAAACGCAGAGCCTCCCTGCACACTGATGGGGCTCAGCACATACGGACCAAGGGGCGGCAGCAACGCGGGACAGAAACCCCCCGCAAGCCCAGGGAGGATCCAGGGCTTCGGCAGGAGCTTCCATCCCAGGGGAGCCGAGGAGATCGTGGTAAAGAACTGTCCCCCGGATCACGGTGATTCAGCAAAGACGCCGCGAATTAGCCCGCTCTGCCCCTCCCGGAGGTGACCCGGGAGCGCGGCCCGAGCCCCGGCAGGTCCCGGCCGTGCCGCTCTCCGGGGAGGCGGAGCCGCTGCGGCTCCCGGCCGCTCCGTGCCCGGGATCCCCGCCGGGCACCGCGCCTCCGCAACAGCCGCCCCAGCCGCGCCGGGGCCTGCGCCTCTCCGCGCCCGCCGCCATACAGGTACCGGGAGGGCTGCCCCCGAGAGCGCCTCGCGCCCCTCGCAAGGGTCTGGCCCGGGGCGGGCTGAGGTGGCCGCGGCCCCGGGCTGAGGAGCCGCTCCCCGCTCCGCTCCCCGCTCAGCCCGGCTGCCGCTGTCCCGCAGGTGACGGTGCGGGACGCGCTGAACCAGGCGCTGGATGAGGAGCTGGAGCGGGACGAGCGCGTGTTCCTGCTGGGCGAGGAGGTGGCGCAGTACGACGGCGCCTACAAGGTACGTGGGAGACGCTGGCGGCCCGGGAGAGCGCCCGGGGCGGGCCCTGACGCCTTTCTGCCGCCCTGCAGATCTCCAGGGGCCTCTGGAAGAAGTACGGGGACAAGAGGGTGATCGACACCCCGATATCCGAGGTGAGGCTGCCCTCTCTCCTCCCCCGGTGATCCCCCATCAGCTGCTCCCTGCTCCTTATCCCTTGGTTTCCTCTCTTTCAGATGGGCTTTGCAGGAATCGCTGTCGGTGCTGCTATGGTTTGTACATTTGCATTCCTCTACTTTAAAAATGAAGCTGTTTTTACGTCAAAAAAAACCCCGCACGTCGCGTTTTTACGTCATTTCACAGGCAGGGCTGAGGCCGGTGTGCGAGTTCATGACGTTCAACTTCTCCATGCAAGCGATCGATCAGGTGATCAACTCGGCGGCCAAGACGTGCTACATGTCCGCCGGCTCCATCGCCGTGCCCATCGTGTTCCGCGGCCCCAACGGCGCCGCGGCGGGCGTGGCCGCGCAGCACTCGCAGTGCTTCGCCGCCTGGTACGGGCACTGCCCCGGCCTCAAGGTCGTCAGCCCCTGGAGCTCGGAGGATGCCAAGGGGCTGCTGAAAGCATCCATCCGGGATGACAACCCAGGTGAGCACGAGCGGATCATAGCTGCGGCACTCAGTCCTAAGGAATGTCTGGTTTTCCCCGCAAAAACAAGCGTTGGTTGAACCCTAAAGCACTCCAGGTTGACTTACTGCAGTTGTGTAAAAAGACACAGAGGGATTCATGGTTTCTCTAACAGTCCCCTGCACTGATTCTGTGCTGCTGCCACGTGCAGTTTTAGTGCTAGCTTGGTATCAACCAGGAAACCTGGAAGCATTTATAAATGCATCATAAAAGGGTTAAAAAGGGTGAAGATGAGTTAGAAGAACTATTATATTCCTGCATATATAGTGCCTATGTAACTCAGTTTTACAGATCATGAATTCAAATGATAAATTTAGAATGTCCTTATTCAAGAGCAGGGCAACCTTTGACTTTATTTTTTCACAAACAGTAATTAAAAGTATGAGACCTTTCTAAAACTAGTGATTGTACTGTCATGTAAAATAAAATTTTTATTTTACATGACATATATTTATTTTACATTAAAGTAAAATAGCTCACCTCATTTCAGAGAAGTTGTAGAAGTTTTTAAAATAATTTATTACTGAATAAAGATTTTGATTTACTTTTTTTTTTTAATTCCTTCTGCAAACATAGTCCTCACTCCCTTGTTGCCTGGGTGGGTTTACTGTCCTGAGCTGCAGGACTGTTAGTGCTCAGTGCAGGCCTGTGCCTGCAGGTGTACACACTAATCCAGTCATGTTTCCTTCTAGTTGTGATGCTGGAAAGTGAGCTGCTCTATAGTGTTCCCTTTGAAATGTCTGAACAGGCACAGTCAAAGGAATTTGTTATTCCCATTGGGAAAGCTAAAATAGAAAAGCCAGGTAAGCTGAGAATGCATTTCTGTCCTTATTAATTGACGTGCTTGGAGACTTTTCTTAATCTCTCATCTATTCAGGGTACTGCTATCACAGGGCACACAAAAGTATTTCAAATGTTAAGTGTTCAGATGTTCTTTTATCCAGTGGTGTGGTTTCATGTTCTGCTGCCCTTACAAGGATACATTACCTGATTGTCCATACCTCAGTTTAAACTATCCTTCTAAAGGCCTCCATAAAGGATATGTTCTGTAGTACAGCTTGGGTAGGTGATGGCTGAAACAGTTTTGTCCTCACCTAAGTATGTGATTTTGGTCAAAAATGCAAAAAGAGATCATTGTAGTGTTTCAGCCCACTTGTTCATAACTTACCTCTGAATTATATGAACATTTGAGTAGGATAATCTGAAAACTACATTAAATACCTCTTCAGTTCCCTGAGTTCAAGGGCAAAATTTGTGTCTAAACATGGTCCTTCCTCTCTTCATACTGTGACAAATTCAGATAAATTTTGGGCTCATTATTTCAAACAAACCTAAGAACCTTAAATTTGCAAGTGAATCCTAATGCTACCTTGAAAGGAGCCTGAGGTCTAGAAAAAAGCTTTAAATCCCAAGAGGTTTTTTCTAACACTTGTTTCTGTTCTAGGAACTCATGTTACATTAGTGGCACACTCAAGACCTGTTGGCCATTGTTTGGAGGCAGCTGCTGTACTTTCTAAAGAAGGTGTGGAGTGTGAGGTGAGTGGGGTTTGGGTTACTTTTATCTTTCCCTGAAGTGGGGGGAAAAACCAGCATCTTCTTGTTCAAGCTGTGCAAAACTTCAGACCTACAAGGGTCTTAACATTTGCAAGTGCCCTAACAGCATGCGCCTTTCACGTTCCTGAGTCAGACATTTTATCAAGTCTTGTCTTTGGAGTCAGAGCAGCTGCAAGTGCTGCGGGGCCGTGTCCCCAGGCAGGGGTGCCTGGCAGCTGAGGGCACAGCCGGGCTCACGCTGTCCCTTGCCCCAGGTGATAAACCTGCGAACCATTCGGCCGATGGACATCGAGACGGTGGAAGCCAGCGTGGTCAAGACAAACCACCTGGTAACTGTGGAAGGAGGCTGGCCCCAGTTTGGAGTGGGAGCTGAAATCTGTGCCAGGATCATGGAAGGTACTCAGTGTCACAGCACATTGATCTCATTCCCTACTCTAAATCCTGATTTTTCTTGATGAAGCCAGGCAACAGCAGAGTTAGAGGTTAAATCAGATGAGCTGGGGCAGTCTTACCGTAGAGATTTTCACAGGGTGATGACCAAACCCCAGAGTGCATGAACACAAACAAGCCAGAGCACTGCTTTGTGGAATATTAGAGCCACAGGAACAAAAAATTGTTTAATAGAGTCAGATTCAGAAATTGGGTTACTTTTGTAAGATAAAAGCATCGTGCTTGGCAACCTGACACTGTCTTCTGTTCCAGGACCTGCCTTTAACTACCTGGATGCTCCAGCTGTGCGTGTCACCGGTGCTGATGTCCCCATGCCTTATGCAAAAATCTTAGAGGATAACAGCTTACCTCAAGTGAAGGATATAGTATTTGCAGTGAAAAAAGCTTTGAATATATAAATTGTAAATAGATGTTTTAAAATCCTGCTCTACAAGGCATTCTTTTGGTGTTGGGCACGTTGTATGCATAATTTCTGTTATATAAGCTCCATGATCTTTTGTACAGTGGGGAAAGTATAGTGACCTCCCAAAATATTTATATGGGGTTACCCCCCAAGCCACACGTCCTGTATGCAACAATGTGGTAATGCTTGTTTGTTCAACAGTACAGCCAGATTACTGCTACTGTTTGTGGAAAAACCCTTTTCTAAATTCAGAGAGAGGGAAAAATCCTCTGTTTTGGCTTGGCTTGTAAGTTCCAGAGGAGCTGTATTGAAGCTGCTGCAGCAGTGATTGAGTACAGAGCTGCAGAGAGCAAGAGCAGGCCTTGAATGCTGTACAGCTGCAGGAGCCTGTGGTTGCCAGGCTCATTAAAGAGGAATGATCAGGCTGATCACTGCAGCCCAGCCTGTCACTGCAGCTCTGAGCAGAGGCTGTGGCAGCCCAGGGCTGGGTTAAGAGATGCTGGCTGTGTCTGGTTTGAAGAGCATTCTGCACGTGCAGAAAGGCTTCTGTACAAGAGCTGAAATAAAGATCCTGAACCTTTCCACTGTGTGATGGGAAACAATACCTAATTTTTCTTTACTAGCTGCTATGTAACAGTGATTTTTAAAAAATGCCCAGATGCTTTGCTTTTACTAGTCAAGTTTTTTGTGGTTTCTTTTTTTTTTTAAACTCCCTACCTGGCTGACAACAGCACACTCATACTATGGTTCTTGCAGTGCAAAATGAGTTGGTTTATTCAGCTGCACTGAGCCTAAGTAGGTGTGTGGACTGTGTATGAAGAGCTGGGACACACTGAGAGCAGCCTTGGAGATCACTGCATCCCAGGGAGCTCTGCCAGGCTCCCCTCAGAGCTGGTGGTACAGAGGGAAAGCTGCCTGGAGGAGCCTGTGCAGCAGGGTCTGCTCTGCCCTCAGGTAAATGGGGGAGAGGCTCTTCTGTAAGCAGACAGAAGAGCTGGGGTCCTGTTTCTGAGAGCCAGGAGTACTCCCCAGGGTATTTCCTGTAGCAGAGGTGCTGTTCAGTTCTTGGGAGGTCTGGCTTGGAGGTTGAATCCCACCAGAACATACCCACCACATGCTGCTGAAGGAATTCCATTAACATTTTAATAAAAATGACTGAATATCACAGGTTACATGAAACTTTGTACAGACATTCTCTGCATAGTAACAAACACTGATGTACTTGAATTTAAAAAAATGGATTATCTATAATCCTTTAAAGTGCAATTTGTTTAAGGTTTTAAATCAAAAAGGATCTTTCAATAAAGTTTAAATGATAGAATTAACTTGAAGTAACTTTTCATTTAATTAAATCAACAATAACATCCCAGTGCCCTATAACCTCCCACTTTAACTGCTTCCTCATTTAAAAACACTTTCCCCTAGAGTTGCAG